TGTAATTTCGTAATCGATCATCGGTTGAACCCAAGTAACCGATGATCGGTTACAATCGGTTACTCGGGGTGTTGAATGCCTGCGTGTGCATGTACGTTTGTGCATGTATGTGCTTGTTTAGCCCTGTTTACTGTTTGTTTTGCACTGTTTACTACTGTGTGTATAATACATGTATGTTATTAAAGGATAACTTGTATAGTAGCGATGATATCTCTGATTCTCATCACTTTTCCAAGTTTTCTTGTTCAAGTTTTACACTCATTTCGATTTTTTTTTCTTTTTTTTTCGATGAAATCGATTATGGATTTTGATAACCAATTGTGCTTGGTTCGAGCCACTGTTCAACCGATGATCAAGTATAATCGATGATCGTGACATCACTAATAAACACGATGAAATAGTATATATTTAATTTTACATATATATAACTATTAAGGGCAGTTGTCGCCAACTACATGTATCCCCCGTGATCTAGTATGAATGAAATATCTCTGTAAGGACGTAGAAGGTAGGTAAAGTTAAATAAGTCACAAAGACAAAGGTTTGTTACACAACTCATCTGCCTGAGATGTGCAAGTATGTTAAAATTGGTTGCCATAGGGGTTTTGGTACGCGACACACCTTCTCCCACAAGATGGTGTAAAGGTATCACGAAGTTTGCTCGCGCACTAGGTCAATTATCGGGGCGTCGAGTTATAGAGCGATAGGAAATATGATCAAGGTCAAATAACAGGTCGCAGTGACCTGGTTTTGTGTACGCGGACACACCTTCTCCCGAAGATGTGTAAGTATACAAGTTTGGTTAAGCGCTAGCTCAAAATTAGGGCGCGAGTTAAAGAGCGGAAGAAAATATGGATCAAGATCAAGGTAAAGGTCAAATAAGCGTCGTAGTGGCTCGGTTTTGGTGATCGCTGCGCCCTTTCCCCAAGATGATGTAAGTAGAGCTATGTTTGGTCACCGCTAGGTTCTTCACCATTCAAGCAAGAACCAATGAAACGTTGTAGTGACAAAGAAGCATTCTTATGTATTCGAGCCAACTTTGCCACTGCCTATGCCACCATCCACCAGCAATCTATAATAAGCAACTAATCTCTATTATTAGGCAAAGCTGACACGTTTATTGATTAGTTTTAGCTGACGCGTTTCACGTAACGTTGACTGGAAACAGTCGGTACAGTTGCTGATGTAATTTTCTACGGTTATTTTCAGTCTAATTTAGTATAATTACCTAGCTAAAAGTTTCCATGGTTTAATCACCATTAGAAATATTATTAAAGAAATGCTTTTAAACTAACGATACAGTTGATTACTACGACGGTGGCGGCCACTCAAAAGCGCCAATCTGATAAGTTGCGCAAAACTACTTTTCCAGCAAGGGCTACAGACCTGGGTTGTTTCTCTAATTTATTCATTTAAAAAGCAAAAGAATTGTAATTCTTATAAACGACATATAGTTTACCGTCTATAATATGGATTAAATTCCAAAATAATAGCCTAAAATTAGACTATCGTTTCAGTTAAATAGCATTTAGGTATAAATATAATTGCACTTTTGTGATTAGCCCTCGGTCTGTAACCTGCAAAATAAATTGTCAAATACGCAACTTTTTCGGAGTGGCAGCACGGTCGCGGGTGTCATGGCGCCGTTCAAATTTCGTAGCGTTGATGTGTAAATAATTATAACAATTAAATTAGGTATCTGGTAACATATACGTGTGGGTATAGACGATTTGTTATACAGTAAGTACAGTCGTATGCAGTAAAATCCTAGAGGCTACTGTCCCTTACCACTCGTGTGCAGCCTCCCTGGTGCGTACAGTCAAACCTCGGTTATCCGAACATCAATTATCCGAATTTCGGATTATCTGAACTTCATCTCAAGGTCCCATGAATATTTAAAAAGCCAGTAGACCACCCGTGACCCGTTGGGTCACCCACTATTCAGAGGTTATGAAGAATTCAAGTTAATTTCAATATTGCACTGAAATGAAGGTTTATTTTGAGATAATTAAATTAAATATTTCAATCCATTCGTGTTATTCATAATTCAAAAAAAAGACATTTGATTGTTCACCTTTCCTTTGTATTGTTTATCGCTGTAGAAAGCTAGATAGGCGGCGCGCGTTTGACGTAACGTTGACTGGAAACAGTCGGTACAGTTGCTGATGTAATTTGCCTGTGAACGGTTGCCAAGCGCCTCGCGCTCACCCAGAGCTGCACCGGCCGTGTATTTAATGCTACTATTCCACACAGACCCCGAATCCTACGAATCGCCACGAATTGATAAATTTTAGGATTCGTGAGGATTCGTGGAATTTTGCAAATTTCTTGTCCAAATCGTGACGCTCTACGATTCTGTTACGATACAGGTACGATAGAGTTACGAATATTCGTGGGATTTGGCTCGAATCGCTCAAATATTGTCAAGAATTCACTACGATTTACAAGAATCGATTACAAATTAAATACTGCACGAACGTTAGGAGTCAGTTACGAATCAGTTAAGTATATGCCGAATGCATATACGAATCAGGTACGATTAAAATTGAATTCGTGACTATTCTTGACAATTCGTGGGATTTTCCCTCAAGATAGGTATAGCCCTCACCCCTGCTTGAAATTTTGGACCTTTGGGCGTGTGATCAAGGCATCAGTTCCAAAATGCAGCACGTTGCGCAAACGGGGCGCGCGCGCCCCGTTTGAGAAAACTCCCCCCTATTTGAATCATTGCGCCCCGTTTGGGAAAACTCCCCCCTGTTTGAATCGTTGCGCCACGTTTAAATTCCACCACAATAAAAGTTTGCCAGCGCCGGAATCGATCGTCAAGAATTCCCGTTCGACCAGGACATTCGGCGCGTGTATTTTTACCGTACCACGCATCCACTGAAGACAGTACACAAGTTAACCTGACAATGCACAGTTAACCTGTCACTAACTGTACACCAAAGATCGTAGAGTGAACAAGATAAACCACTCATGCGAAATCACGTGCAATGACGTGTAGTACGCAATGGAGCGCCACGTCCGCCATTTTAGGAAGCAAAACCCGCTCCGCGTCTGTTTGATACATAGAAATAATATGGATAACCATGGTTAATATATATATGTAATATGTATATTATAATAATAATGTAATAGATAATATTTTTATGGCGAATAAGCTGTATCAATGCTCTCATTCAAGGTAGCAAAATCTAACCAATGATTCATATGCGGATGTTACTATGTAGTAATGTAGCCGTGCAGTGCCAAGGCTAGTGTGTAGGGAGAGTGATATACGCCGAGCGGCAGTGTGATAAGTTCAATATGGCTATACGACGGAGCCGTATGCACCGACTCAATATGGATAAAGACGGAGGATCGAAGGGGAGAAGAGAAGGGGGATGGTGGAAGGAGAAGGAGAAGGGAGAAGGTGGTGGAGAAGGAGGAAGGGGAGAGGAGAAAGGTGATGGAGAAGGGATGGGAGAAGCGTGGTGAGAAGGAGGAGTTTTAGAAGGGAGAAGGGCTAGCGTGGAGGAGGGGAGAAGCTGGTGGAGAAGAAGGGGGAGAAGCTTGTGGAAAAAGGAAGGATGAGGAGAGGAACGGGGAGAAGGAGCTTGGTGAGAGAGAGGGAGAGGGAGAAGGGGAGAAGGGAGCTGGTGAGGAGTGAGGGGGAGAAGGGAGAAAGGGATGCTGAGGGGGAGAAGGGAGCTGGTGGAGGGGGGGGGAGAAAGGGAGTGGAGAGGGGGAGAAGCTGGTGGAGGAAGAAGGGGAGTAAGAGAGAAGGGTGTGGATAAGGAAGATGGAGGAAGTGGTGGAGGAGGAGGGGGAGAAGCTGGTGGACGGAGGTGAAGAGGGGAGGGGCTGGTGGAGTAAGGGAGGGGAGAAGAGAAGGTTGTGGAGGAAGGGGAGAAGCTGTGAGAAGGAAGAGGGGCGAGAAAGAGAGAGGTGGTGGAGAAGGAAGGATGGAGAAGCTGGTGGAGGAGGGGAGAAGGAGAAGCTGGTGGAGGAAGGAGGGGGAAGAAAGCTGTGTGTGGCTTCCTCCTTCTCCACAGTTCTCGCCTCT